CCCCCCCCCCCCCCCCCCCCCCCCCGGGGCCCCTTGGACACTGCCATGCCCTGCCCTGAAATCCATACCAGGCAGGGCTCCAGGCCTCCAGCTGGCTCAGAACGGACCCAATCACTCCACATCTCTCTCCCCAGCCTGAGGGACCCCACTCACCTCTCTGCAGGGAGTTAGGGCCTGGGCCGGTACCTGCAAAGGAACAAAATGAGCCTATTAGCATCCTTCTGGCTCCTCTCTGAAGACCCGCCTCAGAGACCATCTCAGCCAAGGAAGTCCCCGGTGTGATCATTCTCTCGGCCCTCCTGCTGCAGGCTGTGCACAGGTTCAGACAGACCCAGCGAGTCGTTACTGGAATCCAGGGAGTCTGGGTCTCAGGACTGTTCACCCTCCAAAACCCAGGAGTCCAGGACGTTAACCCTTTGGGCTCTGTGGGCCCAAGAGGTAGGAACCCCAGCCCCCTCCTCCTTCCAACTCAAGTACAGGTCTCAATTTTTCTTCCCTTTTCAAGACCCAGGAATCTGGCTTCCCAGGCGGCCTCCTCAGATCAGGATTCCAGGCTCCCAGTCTCTTCCTTCCAGAGTCCACATCCCAGTCCCCCAACTTCAAAGAGCTGAGTGGCACCGGGGGTAGGAAAGAGCCAGCGGTCCCCATCCTTGCCATTACGCCACTGTCACACCAACATGTGTGGACATGCCGAAACCCACGTGGGCCCAAGTCTCTACATCTGGATTTCCAGTACGATGTGTGCCCCCACCTTCCATGGCCTCTTAGCCCAGCGTGTGGACACATCTGTGTCCTTGGGACCCCCCTGGATGGGCCCCAGCATAACACAGGTCACACCACACAGGCCCCAATCTCACTGGGCCAAGAAGTGGGGTCAGCCTTATGCCAGGAAGACAGGCACATGTATGCCTATGCCTTGCACACAGACCAATCCCCAGAGACCAACACTGACACATAAATGGACTCACAACATAGACCCACACCCTCAAGGTTGACACGCCTGCACACAACCACATGTACAACACTGACTTTCCCTTGCACATTCATATATACTCACGTAGACGCACAACAGAGAAACCGATGTGCCCTCTTGCAGACAATTGGATACATGCACCTATAACAGATAAACACTTGCACACTGGCCAACACACAGGGGCACATACATATGACATATGATCACTTGCACAATCAAAGACACACAGGTGCATCCTTCTAACGCCCAAACACACCCATACACACTCATACAACTTCACATATCCCCCTGATTCATGGTCACAAAACTGATACATCCCCACACCAACAGAGGCACAAATGCACATACTTGCTGATACACACCTCACACACATGACACAGAACTACAAGCACACACAGACACACAAAACTGACACACAAGCACACAGGCACAAAAAGATTCACCTTGCACAGACATTCTGGGATGTCTGTGCACTCCTAAGACACAGGCTCACACAGCAGCCCTGTAAGGGATTTACACACTTCCAAAATGCACACAAAATACTGAACCATGGTAGCATAGTCAACAGATAGGCATAGATTCACACTCACATACAGTCATGAACACACATCCCTCCTAGCCCTGAGGTGCCCCCACCCCACCTGCTTCCCAGGCCACAGAAACCCTAACATCCTTCCCTCCCAGCACATCCTCCCAACCCCCAACCAAGGCACAAGCCAGGGCCTGAGGTCAGAGTTCAGCAGGTGGAGTCTCAAAGGATTGGGGGACCGAGTCCCAGAGCCCCGGCATAAGGCAATCCTTCCACTGGCAGCCCAAAGGTCCCCCGGCCTGGCCATCTGTATGCCGGCAACTCTGGCCCCCATCTGCGGAGATCTAGCGGGTGGGGGGGATTGGGGTGGGGTGGGTGGGGAAGGGCCGGGTCTGTGCCCCTCCCCTTGGGCCCATCTGTCCATCCCTCGGCCTCTCATCCCTCCATCTGTCCACCTACCGGCCGCCCATCCCCCCCCCCCAGCCACCGGGAAGAGGAAGACATGGCCGTCTCCCCCAAGGACCGCTGAGGACCCCCCCAATTGACACAGACCGAGGGAGCGGCAAACTCCCCTCCCCCAAACCCATACGGAGGCCTGGACCCACAAGGAACGAGCCCCAGCCCCCGGCCGGGATCCTGACGTGGACGCACAGACACACACCCTCGGAGACACACAACCCGCAGACATACACACACACACAAATGGACACCAGAACGGGCACACCCGGCTACATAAACCCTCGGATGGACGTCCAACCTGGACACAAACACCCAGCGCAGCCGGCCCCGCGCCCACACTCGTTGGGGGGGGGAGGGTTCCACACCTGGGCACACAACCCACGCACACACACCTGCACACAGCCCCTCCGATGGGCGCGCGACAGCCCCCCAGACACACAGCCAGAGAAGCAGCCGCTCGGGGGACACACGCGCGCGGCCGGACACAGCACCTCGGCTCGACACCCAGCACACACCCGGATGGCCACACAAGCAGGGCGCCGCACACGCCGGCGCCGGGCACACACAGGGCCGCGCGAGCGCACGCCGGGCCCGCCGCAGCGCCGTGGACACACACTCACACGCTCGCACGCTCACACCCGCGCTCCCACCGGCGCCCCCGCCCGCCGCCTCCCGGGCCGCTGCGGGCCGCGCTCACCCAGCCCGGG